TTCATAAAGCGACACATGCTAAGGAGAATATCAATGTAAGCTTTTACTATATACTTTATCAAATATTTATAAGCAGCAAAACAACACAGTATGTCAAAAGTTGTGGAGTTGAGCTGAAGCAGACAGAACCATTCTTTGATCTATAAAAGAACATGTCAGGTGTAAAATAACTGAGGAGTGATGGGTACAAGAACAGTGTGGCCTTGGCTTGTCAGGCTATGCCCTTGAGATTGTGTTCCGGCACTGCAGAGTCAGGATTCTCCTCTGTACTGTCACAGCGGAGTGTCAGCCGGTTCTAATCACCATCCACTTCTGTGCTGATTGCCGAGACATTAACTCCATATACTGCTCTTCCTTTCCATTTACTGCTATCTTGAAGCCGGGATCACGGACAGATAGAAAGTCGCCGGGGGATGGACGACACTCGCACCATAATGACTAATGATATCAGCCGACAAATAGTTTGCCTTGAGCAGCCCCGATAGCAGAAGCCAACCTCGCCAAGTCGGCTCCTACCATTCAGTCATCGCCAAATATTCCGAGCGTCTTCAATGTGCCTCTACTGCCTCACATCTTAAAGAACAATTCCATCTTACCCTCATTTTGCTGTAATCTAGGTTGAACAGACATTCTGGGTTTTGGGGGATATTCTCTGAATTTAGGGGATTGTATCCAAGAAAACAGCGTCCCCGATTTTGTTCCTAGTTAGAAGAATGTGTTCCTGATCTCTTTCCAGCTTTAACCACTTGCCATGTATATAAACGGACGGATGAGAGCAGTGCAGGAGCGGGTGGCCGTTTATAAATGTCCTCCCCGCTTCCCTGCTTGTGCGCGCTCCCTGGGAGTGCGCAGCACCGTGATCCCAAACAGTGATCGTTGTACGGGACCTCTGCGTGAGGTCCCGATCATGTGATCACTGATTGGCCAATCAATGATCACATGAATAGAAGTAAGCAAGATGCATTTGGAAACTCGGGAACTGCCCGAGGGCCCAGGGGGTCAGTAGAGGGCCCCATGAGATGCCCCTGGTACCTTTTTCATAGGCTTTTTTGAGTTTGGGCAAGGACACAGGGGTCCCATGATCCCCCATTGCCCGGGGGCCCCATGAGTTGTCAGTCTGCCCCTGGCAAGATGTCACTTCTGACATCATTGCTTGCTACGTGTGTGAAATCTGTGAATGATCACAGAGGTCCCTGGTCATCTCCTGTACTATGTCCGCAGTCTCTGGTCATCTCCTGTACTATGTCCGCAGTCTCTGGTCATCTCCTGTACTATGCCTGCAGTCTCTGGTAATCTCCTGTACTATGTCTGCAGTCTCTGATCATCCCTGTACTGTCAGCAGTCTCTGGTCATCTCCTGTACTGTGTCTGCAGTCTCTGGTCATCTCCTGTACTATGTCTGCAGTCTCTGGTCATCTTCTGTAGTATGTCCGCAGTCTCTGGTCATCTCCTGTACTATGTCCGCAGTCTCCGGTCATCTCCTATACTATGTCCGCAGTCTCCGTCATCTCCTGTACTATTTCCGCAGTCTCTAGTCATCTCATGTACTATTTCCACAGTCTCTGGTCATCTCCTGTAGTATGCCGCAGTCTCTGGTCTTCTCCTGTACTATTTACGCAGTCTCTGGTCATCTCCTGTGCTGTGCCCACAGTCTCTGGTCATCTCCTGTACTATGTCCGCAGTCTCTGGTCATCTCCTGTACTATGTACACAGTCTCTGGTCATCTCCTGTACTATGTCTGCAGTCTCTGGTCATCTCCTGTACTACGTCCTCAGTCTCTAGTCATCTCCTGTACTGTGTCCGCAGTCTCTGATCATGTTTTCCTGTACTGTTTCCGCAGTCTCTGGTCATCTCCTGTACTATGAACGCAGTCTCTGGTCATCTCCTGTACTATGTCCGCAGTCTCTGGTCATCTCCTGTACTATGTCCGCAGTCTCTGGTCATCTCCTGTACTATGTCCGTAGTCTCTGGTCATCTCCTGTACTGTCCGCAGTCTCTGGTCATCTCCTGTACTGTCCGCAGTCTCTGGCCATCTCCTGTACTATGTCCGCAGTCTCTGGTCATCTCCTGTATTGTGTCCGCAGTCTCTGGTCATCTCTTGTACTATGTCCGCAGTCTCTGGTCATCTCCTGTACTATGTGTGCAGTCTCTGGTCATCTCTTGTACTATGTCCGCAGTCTCTGGTCATCTCCTGTACTATGTGTGCAGTCTCTGGTCATCTCCTGTACTGTGTCCGCAGTCTCTGGTCATTCCCTGTACTGTGTCCGCAGTCTCTGGTCATCTCCTGTACTGTGTCCACAGTCTCTGGTCATTTCCTGTACTGTGTCCGCAGTCTCTGGCCATCTCCTGTACTATGTCCGCAGTCTCTGATCATCTCCTATACTATGTCCGCAGTCTCTGATGATCTCCTGTACTATGTCCGCAGTCTCTGGTCATCTCTTGTACTATGTCCGCAGTCTCTGGTCATCTCCTGTACTATGTCCGCAGTCTCTGGTCATCTCCTGTACTATGTCCGCAGTCTCTGGTCATCTCCTGTACTATGTCCGCAGTCTCTGGTCATCTCCTGTGCTATGTCTGCAGTCCATTGGTTCAGAATATTTTTTTTCCTGTTTTCCTCCTCTAAAATCTAGGTGCGTCTTATGGTCAGATGCGTCTTATGGAGCCAAAAATAAGGTAAATAAAATGAAACAGATCACACATACCCATACCAATGTGTCATGTTGAATAAAAAAATAAATATAATGGTGTCACGCTTCACTGACAAATATATACATTAAGTGTATAATATGCAATTTCAAAAAAACTTTGGCAAAAACAATATTCCAGAAATTAAACGTCCATATTTCATCCGTGATTTCACACTCTTTCCAGTGATGTGGACAAAAATGACTTGTGCTTGGTTCACCACTGCTGCGTCTTTGTAACAACCATGCTTGCACCTTCACTAGTTGTGCTCTCACCTGGTAAATATGACCAGACCATTAAGTGAGGTCATAAACAGCTTGTGTCCTCCAACACTCCTCCTCCAATGGTTGATGTGCCATAAAGAATAATGAAAACATAGTGCCTGAAAAGAAAAAAACTTTATAGGACTTTCATGCAGCAAGCTACAGCATTACACATGTAACCAAAAATCTTTCTTTAGAAAGGAATACACTTTATTACAAAGACATACTCATGAGAATACATCATCTTTATACTTGTGAAAAATACATAAACCGTTTTTGGTGTGTTCTTCTATTTATAGATATCCTATCTGGAAATAATTCTGCCCTTGGAGAGACTTTACTTTGCATTATTCTGAGGCAAGGATACTTTTATATTTCTATATTCTAGTAAGCGTCATGGATAATTATAACAGTGATGAATGTATGTGAACACGCTGCAAAATATATTCCCATGGGCAACAAGTTTAAAAGGCTAAAAATCAAACCTATGTGGCTTAATGGCCAAAGCTAAAAAAGCTATAGATAATAAGAAAAGAGCTTTTATTAAATATAACAATGAAGGAACACTGTCATTGTTTACATATTACAAAGAATATAACAGAATATGCAAAAAGGAAATAAAGCCCGCAAAAATTGAAAATGAACGACAGATTGCAAAAGATAGCAGGACCAACCCCCAAAAAATTCTTCAAATATATTAACAGTAACAATGTCCGTTCCGAGCATGTAGGTGCTTTACAAAATAATCTAGAGTAGGTGACTGGGGACAAAGAGAAGGCAAGTTTATTTAATACTTTCTTCAGTTCTGTGTATACAAAGGAGCATGGGGGAGCTCTTGTCCATAATGGGCATGGTACTGACACAGCTCCAGATGATCCACATTGGCTCACAATTGATATGATCCAAAAATATTTAGACAGAATAAAGGTGAATAAAGCACCTGGACCGGATGGCATACACCCACGGGTCCTTAAAGAATTGAGTTCTGTAATTTCAAAGCCATTGTTTCTAATTTTTAGGGACTCTTTAATGACTGGCATAGTACCACTGGATTGGCGTAAGGCCAATGTGGTGCCAATATTTAAAAAAAAGGGGTCAAAATCTTTACCAAGTAATTATAGACTTGTTAGTTTAACTTCTTTAGTTGGGAAGATACTGGAGAGTTTAATAAAAGACCACATAGATGAGTTCTTGCTGGAAAAAAAAATATTTTAAGCAACAGGCAGCATGGATTCATGAAAGACAGAAGTTGTCAAACAAATCTGATTTTTTTTTTATGAGGAGGTGAGCAAAACCTGGACAGAGGGGTGGCTGTGGACGTGATATACTTGGACGGAGGGGTGGTGGTGGACGTGGTATACTTGGACACAGGGGTGGCTGTGGACATGGTATACTTGGACAGAGGGGTGGCGGTGGACGTGGTATACTTGGACAGAGGTGTGGTGGTGGTATACTTGGACAAAGTTTGTGGTGGTGGACATGGTGTACTTGGACAGAGGGGTGGCTGTGGACATGGTATACTTGGACAGAGGGGTGGCTGTGGACGTGCTATACTTGGACAGAGCGGTGGCTGTGGACGTGGTATACTTGGACAGAGGGGTGGCGGTGGACGTGGTATATATGGACAGAGGGTTGGCGTGGACGTGGCATACTTGGACAGAAGGGTGGCGGTGGATGTGGTATACTTGGAAGAGGGGTGGCAGTGGATGTGGTATACTTGGACAGAGGGGTGGCGGTGGACGTGGTATATACGGACAGAGGGGTGGTGGTGGACGTGGTGTATACTTGGACAGAGGGGTGGCAGTGGACGTGGTATACTTGGAAAGAGGGGTGGCGGTGGATGTGGTATACTTGGACAGAGGGGTGGCGGTGGATGTGGTATATAACATGGACAGAGGGGTGGCGGTGGACGTGGTATATAGAGATGAGCGAATTATTCAAAAATCGATTTCGGCTGATTCGGCGAATTCGCGGAATAAATTCGATTCCGAGTCGAATATAATCGCTGCGAATTTAACTTATAAAAAGGGTGTTTCTAGGCTTCAGAGAGCCTTTATATTAGTGCAGAACACTGTACCTTTAATTTAAATGCCCTTGGAGTCCTGCTGGGGAAGAGAAATAATACTGTCAGTCAGTATATGACATGCAGATGAGTGCCCGTCGATCTTAGAATCTAACACCGCACACTTACACACTCATTTGGGCAGTCACAAGGGGCCAAAACCAGAGTGTGGACAAGCCACAGTGTGGCGGTGGAGGCAGCAGCAATGGGAGGCCATACAGCACCCTATGCAAACAAAAATGGAAACCACCAGCAGTGTGAGGAGACCTGAAAGTGGCACATGGCAGAGTGGGTGGCGATGGGAGACAGCAGCAATGGGGAAGCCGTATCAGGGACCCATGACACACTCTGGACCTAGCAGCAGCATGAGGAGGTCGCGGTACAAGGGGCCCATGACAGATTACGGGCCTGGCAGCAGCATGAGGAGTCGGTACGGGGGCCCATGGCAGATTACGGGCCTGGCAGCATCAATGGGAGGCCATACAGCACCCATATGGCGAAAAATGGAACCCACCACAGTGTGAGGAGACCTGAAAGTGGCACATGGCAGAGTGTGGCGATGGAGACAGCAGCAATGGGAGGCCGTACATGGACCCATGACACACTCTGGACCTGGCAGCAGCATTGAGGAGGCTAGGTACTAGGGGCCCATGGACAGATTACGGGCCATGGCTGAGCTGCATGATGGATGTCGGTACGGGGGCCCATGGGCAGATTATACGGGCCTGGCACGAGCTTATGGTAGGCTCGTACAGGGTCCACACACACTCTGGTACCAAGCAGCCAGCATGAGGAGGCGGTACAGGGCCCATTGTACAGATTACGGGCCTGGCAGCAGCATTGGAGCCTTGGGATGTTCGCAGGGGATTTTGTGGGTGCACCCTATGGACCACCCCCCTCCCCCCCCATGGAACCCAAACAGCAGTGTGAGGATCTCCTGAAAGTGGCACATGGCAGAGTGTGGGCGATGGACGACAGCAGCAATGGGACGGCCGTACAGGGACCCATGACACTCTTGGACCTGGCAGCAGCATGAGGAGGCGGTAACAGGGGCCAACATTGACAGATTTACGGGCCCATGGCAGCAGCTAATGAGGAGCCCTTACGGTACGGGGGCCCTATGGCTGCAGATAAAATTCCAACAGGCAGCTGGTTGAGGGAGGCCGTACAGTGGACACATGACACAGTCTGGACCTGGACAGCAGCATGAGGAGGCGGGTACAATTCCACCTTGGTTGCAGTATTAGCGTTACACTGGCAAGCTATGAATGAAGTGTCCCAGGATAACGGGGCGGGCCTGCAATGGCTCAATGTTATTTACTGTCCTTGGCATGGGGCAGGAGCAATGGGAGGTCTCCGGTGAATACTGCCAGCTTAAACCCTAAATTGTCAGAAGAAAAAAAAAATACAAACACACCAGCAGTGTGAGGAGACCTGAAAAGTGTGCACACTGGCAGAGTGTGGCTATGGAGACAGCAGCAATGGAGGGGCCCGTACAGACCCAAGACACAC